TTTGGTTTTTCGAGACAGGGTTTCTCTGTGGTTTTGGAGCCTGTCCTGGAACTAGCTCTTGTAGACCAGGCTGGTCTCGAACTCACAGAGATCCTCCTGCCTCTGCCTCCCAAGTGCTGGGATTAAAGGCGTGCGCCACCACCGCCCGGCAGCTAAGGTTATTTTGGAGGGGGGGGGATTCTGGTACTAGATTTAAAAAATTAGATGCATTTTAAGAAACCCTTGAAAAATTTGGCACAATTTAAATTAATTTGCTTTTCTTTAGTTTTAACAGTATATGTTAGCTCACTTTCCAAATGGAATAACTTCAGAATCATTGACTCCACAGATTCTGTAGAAGACACAATTTTGTTAAAAAATTTGCTTTTTAAAAATTGTTCCATCTGAATGAATACTTTAGTTTTGTCCAAAATCTTTTTTAAAATAGCTATATGAAGTGTTGTCTTAGCGGAAACACTTTTATAAGTGAGAAATTACATAATTTACCTATTATCACTGTGATGATATTGTCATCTTGACGCCGTCTAGAGTCCCCTGGGAAGAGAGCCTTTATATGGAGCTGTCTGTATTAGGTTGGCTTCTGGACTGTCTAGTTAACTGTTGTGGAAAGACTGTGAAGGTTACGTTGTTTCCTAGGCAGGGGTCTCTGAGAAATGGAGCCGAGCACAAGCAAGCGTGTATCCATTAGTGTCTCTGGCTCTTGACTGGGTATGCAGTGACTTCTTGCTGTTGGAAGTTCTTGCTGTGACTTCCCTATACTTATGGACTGTAACCTGGGATTGGTAGATAAATCCTTTCTCCCCTGGGTCACATTCTGTGAGGAAATTTTATCATGCCAGCAAAAATGAAAGTAGGAGAGTCAGGTAACAAGGCAGACTTTTAGATGTGTACCTGTTGTACACTGTGATAGTTTCCCGAGGCATTGCTGTCTTCTTGGTTTGGGTTAGTGGTCTTTCCTACCTACTCATTGTAGGTTCTAGGAGACGCTTACTTTTTACTGTTTTTCGTTACTCTTCCTTTTGTTTGTGACCTCTTGTCTGGCCATGCTGTTGAAGCTCATCTTGAACTTGTGAACTCAAGTGATTCTCCCATGTCAAGGCACTGAATAGATTGGGATTACAGTTTTTTGCCATGCCTGCCTTACGGTGACTCTTTTAAACATAATCATTTTCTGTTTCATCTAAGAATACTTTTAAATATGACATTGTGCCCTGTAGGGTTTCAGTCACAACTAACTCATTTGGCATTATAAAGTTAGCTATCCCCTGTTTATCAAGGGGACGTGGAAGACAAATCTGTATTCCTGTTAGCTATATACATCTTTTATCTGTTTTAATCATCCTTGTCTTTCTTGTATTTCCTGGTAGAAGCAGCCGGGCAGTGATGGTGCATACCTTGCCTTTAATCCCACCACTCAGGGGACAGAGGTAGGGGGATCTCTGAGTTCAGGGCCAGCCTAATCAACAGAGTGAGTTCCAGTACGGGCTCCAAAGCTACACAGAGAAACCCTGCCTTGAAAAACCAAAAAGAAAAAAAGCATCTTTCAAAATTTATTGGGTCCTCTTTGCAGAAGAAAAGCTTTCCTGTTATTCCTTGATGCCTTGAGTTGTTCCAAGTAGTCCTGTGATAGAGTCCTTCCTAGTATGAAGCAGAAGAGCTTTAGTTTTCTGAGCCTTCTAGCCACAGGCACACGCAGGGTTAACATTCTAATATATACTGTACTGTCTGCTTAGTACAGAATGTCAGACGGGTGGCTTACACAACAGACACTTCTCACAGTGCTTGAGACTGAGAAGATTCAAGTCAGAAGATTTTATTGTGAGGCAGCCTCTTTTTTCTTTATTTTTTAAAACAATCTTCTCATTTTACATACCAATCCCAGTTCCCACTCTCTCCCCTCCTCCTGCTTCCCCCACCTTCCCCTCCCCCACCCCTATCCTCTCCTCAGAGAGGGTAAGGCTTCTTTCTCATGGGGAGTCAACAGACTCTGTCATATCACTCTGAGGCAAGACTGAGGCCCTCCCCCCTATATCTAGACTGAGCAAGGTATTTCTCCAAAGAGAATGGGCTCCAAAAAGCCAGTACAAGCAGTAGGAATAGATCCTGGTCTCACGGCCAGTGTCCCACAGACTGCCCCGGCCACACAGCTGTCACCCATGTTCAGAGGGCCTAGTTTGATCCTATGCTGGTTCCTCTGCTGTCAGACCAGAGTCAGTGAGCTCCCACTAGCTCAGGTCAGCGATTTCTGTGGGTATCCTCATCACGGTCTTGATCCCTTTGCTCGTATTATTGCTCCTCCTTCTCTTCGGCTGGACTCTGGGAGCTCTGCCCAGTGCTTAGCTGTGGATCTCTGCATCTGCTCCCATCAGTTGCTGGATGAAGGTTCTATGATGACAATGATGTCATCAATCTGACTACAGGACAAGGCCAGTTCAGGCACCCTCTCCACTAATGCTTAGGGTCATAGCTGGGGTCATCTTTGTGATTCCTGGGAATTTCCCTAATGCTAGGTTTTGTGTTAACCCCATAATGGCTCCTTCAATCAAGATATCTCTTTCCTTGTTCTCCCTCTGTCCTTCCCCCACCTCAGCCATCCTGTTCCCTCAAGTCCTCCTCCTCCTCCCCTTCTCACCTCCCCCTTTTCTTCTGCCCCCCCCCCTAAATTTTCTCAGGAGATCTTGTCTATTTCCCCTTCCCAGGGGGATCCATTCATGCCTCTTTTAGGGTTCTCCTTGTTACCTAGCTTCTCTGGGGTTGTGGGCTATAGGCTTGTTATCCTTTGCTGTTTGTCTGATATCCAATTATGAGTGAGTTCATACCGTGTTTGTCTTTCTGGGTCTGGGTTACCTCACTCAGGATGTTTTTTTCTAGTTACATCCATGCTTCATTTTTTTTTTACGGCTGAGTAGTACTCCACTGTGTAAATGTACCACATTTTCCTTGTCTGCTGCTCTTCGGTTGAGGGGCATCAAGGTGGTTTCCAGGTCCTGACTATTATGGATAAATAATACTGCTTTGAACACAGTTGAGCAAATGTCCTTGTGGTGTGAGTGTGCATCCTTTGGGTATATGCCCAAGAGTGGTATAGCTGGGTCTTGAGGTAGATTGATTCCAATTTTCTCAGAAACCTCCATACTAATTTCCAAAGTGGCTGTACAAGTTTGGACTTCCACCAGCAATGGAGGAGTGTTCCCCTTACTCTGCATCTTTTCCAGCATAAGTTGTCATCAGTGTTTTTGATCTTGGCCATTCTGACTGGTGTAAGATGGAATCTCAGAGTTTTGATTTGCATTTCTCTAATGACTAAGGATGTTGAACATTTTCTTAAGTGTCATTAGGCCATTTGAGATTCTTCTTTTGAGAATTCTGTTTAGAACTGTACCCCATTTTTAAAATTGGATTATTTGGTATTTTGATGTCTAATTTCTTGGCGTTCTTCATGTATTCTGGAGGTCAGTTCTCTGTCTGATGTGGAGTTGAAGGTCTTTCCCCATTCGGTTGGCGAGGCAGCCTGTTTTTACCTGGCAGTTTCCTCCTCTCTCTCTGTGTGCTTGCTCCTCTGGTATCACATTGGACCAGAGCCTCATTTTCAGAACCTCACCTAACTCTGGTAACCTCCAAAGCTCCATCTGAACATCTGATATAGGGGGTAAAGATTCAACATAAAAATGTGGGCAGGGTGCAAACATTTCTCTATTTCATATAGGAAAGACTGGAGCTAAACTATGTAAGTTTCTCATGCTAGTCATGGGTACTTGAGTAAGTTTCTTGTCTAGTTTTAAGAGAAATCTCTTACCACCATTATGGCAGTAGGGTGGTAGTCGGGTGAATTCTCTGGTGTAAAGTACTTGAAACAAATGAGAAGGTAATAATGATAATAAGAAGGGGCACGATGACTTTGTTCCTGTGTGGCGTTTGGACAGTCATGACTGTCCTCAGCATTGTATACTCACTGTACAATTGCTTTTAAGAATGTAAGAGAGAATGCATAATTCTCAGAAAGTGTTCTAAGTGGAACATATGTTGGGAAGAAACAATGAAATGAAATAGTTATTAATTTTGTCATATTAATCTTTAGGTTTTCACTGGAGTAGGACAAGACAATTTATCTCACTGCAAATGTAAATAAAGCCTTGGATGAAGTGATGTTACTGTGTGGAAAGCAGCTGTGGTTAAAATCCAGTGGGAACAAGCTCTGCTGCCTCTTGAGAAGCATTTTAGAAGGGACTGACCTTTAGTCATGCATTCTTACTTCCTTTCTACCTGACCTAGCCTTTCCTCTAAAGACGTGGTTAGCTCATTGTGAACTGCCCCTCGCTTGGTCTCTTCCTTTACTCCTCCAGCCTGCTTGTATTTCTGCTGAGGTCGTATTCTGTTTGTTTTTCAGATGAGACCCTTTTTGCTCTTCCTGCTGCATCTGAGCCTGTGATACCCTCCTCTGCAGGCAAGTTCTTTCTGCCAGCCTTTGTCTCTGTGTATTCTGTCAATCTAGGGTTAATTCAACAGAGTACTTTGGATTTACTGAAAGTAAGCATTGGTTCAAGAACGTTGTTTTTACCGAAAAACAAAAAACACCTAAATTTGCATTTTATATGCTACATCCAAGGGAGGCAGGGTTTGATTCGTAATTGGAATGATGTAAGGATTTCTTGGACCCTTGATTTATATTTACATAATAACAATTCATTTTCTTTAAATAGTTTGCCATTTTATAGCCACAGGCCTTTATATAAAGAAATGCCTGTCTTTGGCTTTTGATAATCCAGTACCCTGTTGAGTTTATACAGCTGGTTACTCATCAAATCTTATTTTCTCTTTAAACTAGTTAAAAGTAGTTTTTTTTCAGTTAGTAAATACTTGAAGTTTTTTTTCAGATTTGATTTATGTCTCTGCATAGTAGGTAACTGCTTCTGAAACCGCATGTCAGTTTTTTCTTTAGGTACTTTAAATTAATAGCTATATTTACAAGGTACAGCGTGGTGATTCAGTACATTCATTGTTGCATGGTTAGGTCAAGCTGGTTAATATTGCCATCATCTTAGATATTTTGAATTTCTTTGTAATGAGAGTATTTAGAGTCCTCACTTGGCTACTGTGTGGTAGAAACATTAACTATGTTCTGCAATAGCCAGTACTTTTAAAAACTGACTCTAGTTTGATATTTTCAGTAATGATCCAAGTCTATGTGTATTTATAACTAAATGCTGTTAGCATTTCATTTTTAATAGTCAGTTTTTACTAACACTTTTATGAATCTGTCATAAAACTTGCATTCTGTCCAAGAACACTGGCTTTCTCTAATTTCCCTTTCTGTCCATGGCCACAGAAAAAAGCATGGATTTGAAGGAGCAGCCAGGTGACACTGTTCCGCCTGCTCAAGAGGATTTCCCATCTGTCCCGCTTGAGACTGCTGCCTCTCTTCCTTCTCTGTCTCCTCTCTCAGCCATTTCTTTTAAAGAGCGCGAGTACCTTGGTCATGTATCAGCGGTCCCATCCGCAGGAGGAACCATTGAAGAAACTTTCAATGAAGCTTCTAAAGAGTTGCCAGTGAGGGCAACAAATCCATTTGTAGATAGAGATTTAACAGAGTTTTCAGAATTAGAATATTCAGAAATGGGATCATCATTCGCAGCTTCTCCAAAAGCAGTGTCAACCATGCTGGTAGAAAACACTAAGGAAGAAGTTACTGTGGGGAGGAAAGACAAAGAGGATTTAGTTAGTGGTCGACAGGAGTCGCCTGTGACCCTCACTGAAGTGGTTAAAGAAGACAGAGTTATGTCTCCGGAAAAGACAAAGGACATTTTTAGTGCAATGCAAGGGTCAGGGGTAGCACCAATGAGGGAAGAGTATGCAGACTTTAAGCCGTTTGAGCAGGCGTGGGAAGTGAAAGACACTGGTGAGGAGACTAGGGACCTGTTGGCTGCCGCAGCTTATCTGGAGAGTAGAGTGCATAAAAAGTGCTTCGAAGATAACCTGGAGCAAAAAAGTCCTGGAAAAGATAGTGAAAGTGGTCCTGATGACGCCTCTCTCCCCGGCACCTCAGAGCCTGTGAGGGATGGCTCCAGAGCGTACATCACCTGTGCCTCTGATAGCAGTGCAGCAAACATTTTCCCTCTGCTAGAAGATCATACTTCAGAAAATAAAACAGATGAAAAGAAAATAGAAGAAAGGAAGGCCCAAATTATCACAGAGAAGACTAGCCCCAAAACATCAAACCCGTTCCTTGTAGCAGCACAGGACTCTGAGGCAGATTATGTCACAACAGATAACTTATCAAAGGTGACGGAGGCAGAAGTGGCAAACGTGCCGGAAGGTCTGACACCAGATTTAGTTCAGGAAGCATGTGAAAGTGAACTGAATGAAGCCACGGGAACAAAGATGGCTTATGAAACGAAAATGGACTTGGTCCAGACATCAGAAGCTGTACAGGAATCACTCTACCCCACAGCACAGCTTTGCCCATCATTTGAAGAATCTGAAGCAACTCCTTCCCCAGTTTTGCCTGACATTGTTATGGAAGCACCCTTAAGCTCTCTCCTTCCAAATGCTGCTGGTGCTCCTGTAGCGCAGCCCAGCGGATCCCCGCCAGAAGCACCCCCATCAGTTGGTTACGACAGCATAAAGCCTGAGCCTGAAAATCCCCCACCATATGAAGAAGCCATGAATGTAGCGCTGAAAGCTTCAGGAGTAAAGGAGGACATTAAAGAGCCTGAAAGCATTACTGCAGCTGCTCAGGAGACAGAAACTCCTTACATATCCATTGCGTGTGATTTAATTAAAGAAACAAAGCTCTCCACTGAACCAAGTCCAGATTTCTCTAATTATTCAGAAATAGCGAAATTTGAGAAATTGGTGCCTGAGCACTCTGAGCTAGTGGAGGATTCCTCACCTGATTCTGAACCAGTTGACTTGTTTAGTGATGATTCAATTCCCGAAGTTCCACAACCACAAGAGGAAGCCGTGATGGTGATGAAGGAGAGTCTCACTGACGCGTCCGAGACAGTAACACCACACACACCCAAGGACAGGTTCAGTGCTTCACCCCAGGAGGTAGGAAAGCCGTACTTGGAGGCTTTCCAGCCCAGTTTACATATTACAAGAGATGCTGCAGCGAATGCAGTTCCAACACTGACCAACAAGGAGAGGATTCCTCTGCAGATGGAAGAGCTCAATACTGCGATTTATTCAAATGATGACTTGATTACTTCTAAGGAAGACAAAATAAAAGAAAGTGAAACATTTTCAGATTCATCTCCAATTGAGATAATAGATGAATTTCCCACGTTTGTCCGTTCTAAAGCCGATTCTTCTCCTAAATTAGCCAAGGAATACTCTGGCCTAGAAGTATCCGGCAGAAGTGAAATTGCTCATGTCCAGAGTGGGGCTGGGTCACCCCCTTGTTCAGAATTGCCCCGTGACCTTTCTTTCAAGAATATGCATCCTAAAGATGAAGTCCATGTTCCAGAAGCATTCTCCAAAGATAGGTCCAGTGTATCTAGGGGATCCTTATTGTCTTCAGACGTTTCTGCTGTGGAACCACAGGCAGAAACGGGCAGCGTAGTTAAACCCAAAGTACTTATGAAAGAAGCAGAGAAAAAGCTTCCTTCTGATACGGAGAAAGAGGCCAGATCACTGTCGGCTGTGTTTTCATCAGAGCTGAGTAAAACTTCAGGTAATCAACCCATGCACTGTCTCACCAGCTTTCTGGCTTACCGTGGAACACAGATAACGTTTTGTAGCAGATGTTCATAGTGTCTAGTACAACATGCTGATTAGACTCTACTGCACTAGTTCAGTTAAAAAGCTTAGTTCTGAGGGGCTGGAAAGGTAGCTCGGTGGCTAAGGGCACCTGCTGCTCTCTCATCCTCCACGAGATCAGCTTCGCCTCCCAGCCTGCTGTGCCTCCAGTTCTGGGGCATCTGATGCCTCTTGTGACCCCTATGGGCACCAGACACAGGTGATGCACAGGCACACACGCAGGTGAGACGCTTACACAAAAAATTAATAAAAGTCAGACAACTATGGTGGTATAACACCTGTAATCCAAACTGAACTCTGGAGGCTAAGGCAGGAGGATTATTGTGAATTTGCCTCAAAAAACAAGAATACAAAAAAAGTTTTGAGTATTAATTCTACGTACTTCCCTTCTACTCAACACTCACCCTTGAGGTTATCTTTTCCATAGTTAACATTGCATCATGGAACCAGAAAAAAATTATTAAAGTTATCTTACATGATATATTTTTTTTTCAGTGTTACTGATAACATGACAAGCAAGGGATATAAAACAGTCTTTTCAGATGTGTTTAGTTTAGCTTAGAAATGATTTCATATCAAATTTGTGAAGCATGACCATTTCTGTAGCATGTTTTTAGTATATATGCATTATTTTTCTAGTGAGAGGTATGAGACTAGACATTAAATATAGATATTTTTCAGAAAATAATTAATTGAAGCATGCTCTGAATTTATGAAAAGCTCAGATTACCCATATATATTTTTAACTCAATATTTACCATTTTTTGCACACATTTTTTCTTTTTATTTATTCTTCTCTCATATATTCCATCCCTACCACAGTTTCCCCTCCCTGCTCCCCTGGATTCACCTCTACTCCCTTTCCCTTCTGGAAGGACAGACATAGCAACCAAATATGGCATACCAAGTTACAGTAAGACTATGTACATCCCTTCATATTAAGGCTGGGTGAGGCAACCTGCTATGAGGCATAGGGGCTCCAAAGAAGGCAAAAGAGTCAGAGACAGCCCTTGTTCCCACTCTTAGAAACCCCACAAGAACACCAAGCTACACAGTGGTAACATATGCAGAGGACCCAGGCCGGAGCCACACAGAGTCCCTTGTTGTTGGTTCAGTCCTCTATGAGCCCCTATGAGCCCCGGTTAGTTGATTCTGTGGTTTTTGTTTTGCTTTATTTTGTTTTTGTAGTATGCGTGACACCTTGCTCCCTACAATTCTTACCTCCCCAACTTCCACAGGATTCCCATAGCTCCTCCTCATGTTTGGCTGTGGGTCTCTGCCTGCATCTGCTTCCATCAGTTGCTAGGTGAAAACGCTTTGATGACCATTATGCTAGGCTTTGGTCTCTGAATATAGGAGAATAATATTAGGAGATGAGCTGTGAGTGTGAAATTACATGGGTGGGTCCCAGCAACATTTTTTCTTAGCATTGGTAGCTGTGTTTTCTATTTAAATATATAGCAATTACGTTGTATTTACTGAATATACTTACATATTAGCTAGCACTGGCTAGTGTCAGACCAGTGTGCAAATTCTCTGTTACAAGAGGAGATTCTGAATGTTCAGATAATGAACTGAGCATAGAGATTTCCTATAGCGTTTATCTAACTATCTTTATCAGTAAAAACTTGGGAGTCAGATATTGGGGTAAGAACATGAACGATCAGAGAAGCAACCCATTTCTGGGTTCTGCCCTCCTCTTCGAGAGTAAGCCCACACCTCTACTCTCTGTGTCTATCTGTCCTCGGCCCTCCAAAACCCCTATGACTCATTCTGGTCAGCTAGTAGTTATCTCTGCCCTCTGATTCAAAGCAAACTTTATTGGCAGTCTAGGGAGCATCAGAGTGTGATCAAAATTCCCACAACAATTCCCTGTTTGAATATGAACATGAAGGATATGGAGAGTGCCAAGATTCTGGGTTCCTGCCATGTGTGTATGAAAAATGGAGATGGGGACATGAGAAAATAAAATGGGATTGGGAGAAGACAAATTGAATTTGGATGTTAGTACTGAGGCAAAGACATTTACTGATGTCATACCTTTAAAAACTTGGAAACAGCTTGTGCATATTTGCCGTAAACTTGGATCTAAAAACTAAAGCCCCAGAGGAACAAGAGGAAACCAAAGGCAAAGATAAATGGTTAACACATAGGAGTTAAGGACTGAGAAAGGACAGGAGGTGCCTGATACGCACACTTATGTGGGTGGACCAGGACCCACGCAGACTAAACTTGATAAGTTTGGGAACAAGAAGAAAAAGGTTAGCTCGCAGGGGAATGGAATATGGGGTTGAGGGGATTCTCCCTACCCCTTTAGGATGTCTGGAGCGGTCGATCCTAGGTGCTGGGATGGACTTCAGAGTTTAGGTGAGGGAATACTGCTGTAGTGAGCAGAAAGAAATGTGTGGATGGGTTGTGTGTGCGTTTTGAATGTGGAGTTTATTGAGATAAAGGGAATGGGAAAGAGACACGGAGAGGGAGAGGCAAAAGCTTGCTTGCCTCTTCAGAAGGGCAGCAGGGAAGGGGTGTGGATGGGTGTGGATACTGCTAGGGCTTGTGTCTGAAGCTGAAGGAGGACTTGTTTGATATTAATGTTAAAGCAGTGTGTATTTGCTAAGAATGAGCAGAAACACACTTGGCAAAGTTATGAAATGTTTTCAACTAGGGATGCAAGGACAGTGCGTTAAGAGCTTAGTCATTGATGTGTGGTACAGTGACTTACTCAGGGCCTGTGCGTGCTAGGCTCTATTGACTTCCAGTGTGCCGAGCAGCCTGGGTAGAGAATCGAGAGAAGGTTTTATTTGAGGTAGTTCTGTTTTGGTACAGGGGCAGTGGATGGACGGTGAGCCAAGAGAGTAGAGAACAATGATAAAGAGTCAGCAGTCCTTGAAATGATAGGCTGGCATCCTATAGGAGTTGATAGAGAGGGGTAGATGGAGTGCACTCTAGGTGCAAATTAGGCTAAGAACCGAAATATATATATAGAATAAAACTGACTCAGAATGTTATGGGAAAACAGTAAGATGCATGTGCTTGTTGGACATTGAGTTTAGAATTTTAAAGCAAAAGCATTTTGGGTTGATCATAAAGTAGCTTTGATTATAAGTGGTTGAGTATAAGAGGTTTGACCCTGAAGAAAGTTACTGAGGCCAAAGGTTGAAAAGTATTGCATGTGCATTCAAGTCACTTAGGACAGTGACAGGACTTCAGATAGAGATTACGGTAAAGGACAGGTTCTGGGGAGATGGCTCAGTGGCTTAATCACTTGTGACCAGAATTCACATAAAAGCTTGCAGGTATGGTGGCCCGCCTGTAATCCCGGGACACTGGACGCAGTCAGGCTAGCTGGGCTGAGTCTGCAAGCTCGAGGGTCAGTGAGAGACCCTGTCTTAGTAAACAGTCTGTGGTCTCTGTGTGATGTACTTAAACAAATGAGGAGTCATGTGCCCCCATCCCTGACTCCAGAGCACCAAAGCAGCAACAAAAAACTCCAAGAGTCTTTGGTAAAAAGCATTTGGGATAACTGACAGGGAAAATCGGCAGGGGCAGTAAGATAGTGTGACCTAGCCAGGCTTCTGAAATGATAGTCTAGATCTGGAAGCAGCCTTAGTTAGCAGAGAATACTTGACACACCCTGTCTTCCAATTGTGCTTAGTACAGGAGAGTAAGCAGGTGATTTAGAAGCAGCACAGGGAAGTGAAGGAAGGGCCAGGCTTTAGTAAAAGGAGGATTGGAAGGGACTCCGATGCAGTACTATGGCTTAGGGGAACCAAAGACGGGACAGTGAAGCACAGAGCAGCAGGGTGTCCTGCCGGGCCGTGTGAGCAGTGTGTGTGAAATATCTGTGAAGTCACCTTCTACCTTCATGCTACCTCCCCAAACTTAGATTGCTTTCAGTAAACCTAGGGATCTATAGCAGTGGTTTAGAATGAAAAGAAGAGTACACGGGTGAGGGTGGTGGTATGAGCCTTTAATCTCAGCGCCCAGAGGCAGAGGCGGGAGGATCTCTGTGAGTTCGAGGTCAGCCTGATCTACAGGGCAGGCCCCAAAGCTACTGAGAAACCCTGTCTCAAAAAAACCAAAAGAATAAAGAGTAGCAATGCCTTTGAAGGCTCAGTAAGGACCCTGAAGAATGGGTTGGGTGCTGACTTTTAAGGAAACAGTATCTTTCCTTCAAGAGAGTCAGTTTTTTTTTTTTTTTTTTTTTTTTTTTTTTTTTTTGTGGAGACAGGGTTTCTCTGTGTAGAGCAGGCTGGCATCAAACTCACAAGAGATGTGCTTGTCTCTGCCTCCCCAGAGCTGAGATTGAAGGTGTGCACCACTACCACCTGATTTACTCAACTCTATAGCTGGACCTTCTCCCCTGAGTGTTTGTGCAGAGACAGTGTGTACCCTAAGGCTGAGGCTGGGAATCCTCTTGTCCCTACTCTACCTTCAGGCAAGGATTCCCTGTCTCTGCTGCCTCACCCTGTTCTGGTGGGTGGCTCACCACACCCACCTGGCTCTTCCTTAACTTCTGAGATCCAAACTCTGGCCTGCAGGCCATCTCTCCAGGCCCATTTTTAGAAACTAAATTAGATTATTCTTAAAAAAAATCATTTTTTACTGATAAAATTGTAGATATATAGGGGGTACAGTGTGATAATTGTATAAATATGGAATGATCAAGGTAATTAGTATTTCCATGTCCTTAAACATTAAATTTTTTCAGTAGTTTTTAAACTATGATGTTCACGCACTAGGGAATAGAAAATAATTTACATATAACAAGTGTGTGTAAGCCTTTAATTCCAGCATTTGGGAGACAGAAGCAGGCATATTTTTGAGGCCAATCTGGTCTACAGAGCAAGTTCCAAGATAGCCAGGGCTACACAGAAAAACTCTGTCTGAAAACAAAACAACCCAAATGTGTAT